GTAGTGGGATATAGCTGGGTGGTAGATAGGGTAGAGAGATATAGCTAGGAGGTAGATAAGGTAGTGGGATGTAGCTGGGAGGTAGATAGGGTAGTGAGATATAGCTAGGTGTTGTAAGCATGTTGAGACATGTGTTGGAGTGGGTGGGATGACAGCTGACATGTCCGTGTAATACTTGCTTTGTTTGGGTTTTTCTGTTTAACTCAGCATTATTCACTTGATGCTAGTGTTAGTGGCAACCATGTGATGGTGTTGTCACCTTATCAACAGGGTTGATGATGTGAGCATGAAAAACTAAAGATGATTCATGCTTTGCTGAAAGTCCTGATGGAACATACATGTATATAGTGACTTTTCTGGTTGAAATCAGAATGACAGTCCTACCATTCTACCATAACAATAGGCTGCTTTGTGTACCTGAATATCTGGTCCCGATTTCTCCAAACAAACTTAAGTTTTTCTCAAATTTCAAACTGCGTTTGACAATTTCAAACAGCTGAATTTTTAACTCAGCTGCATTTTTTAAATCAAAAAGCCCAAACAACTTAAAGGTCACATGCAACGTAAAACACAACTTTGCAAATTCTGATACCTTTCGGTATGGACTTACCGAAACAAATCATCAAAAATGCAATTCAATTTATAAAGTTGAAAAATACAAGATGAAATCAAACGCGCGAAATCGGAGTTCAAGCAATTCACTAAAACTGGTTTCAACAGCTGGGCTGCGCTCATAGCACGTGCGCAGTGAAATAGGTTCGCGCAACTTGGAAGCGGGCTGTCCGGTGAATACTCGGTGAAGGCTTTGGTGTGAGCTATTTTCCTAATGTTTTGTTGATATCTCACAGGCGCGAGCTTTATATATGTTATGACAGTAAATAAACTGTTTATATAATTTCATTTGTCTATTTCACCACACGTTCTTCTTACCAAGTCACTTTCTCGGTTCGATACTTAAAAGCAATGTCATTATTTAGCGTTGTACAGAATTTCTAACTGTGATATAGATATGTCGTTGTCACAGACAAAACTCAATGTCTTGTTTTATTGACACCTGTGTGTCTGCCTGCCTGTCTGCTAATGACAATATTCAATACACAACTGCGATCACTGACCACATGCAATTTGAACTTAACACCAATCAAGCTATACACCATAAACAAAACGCATTGATTTATGGCCCGAGTTCGGTCTCTGTCACATTATGTAATTACACAGACAGGCCCGGTGTGATACTTGAACACATGACATGTTATGATGTCTGTTGATTGCAAAATGTTATACACAAAAAATGAGCATGTATTTACAAAACCCAACATCTCTATATATACACACACAATGAGCCGTGAGGGCATCTGCAAATGAACCAGCCGTTACACTTGAGTGCACACCCACCCGCTCTGACTGGGTTCGGTATCCCGGCTGCTTCGTTTCTTGGGAAGTAAACCCAAGTACACAATATTGCACTTTTGATTTGCGATTGTACGCTTATAATTTTGTTTATACGTTTTTTCATAACCAGCATTGTATATTATATGTCATGAATAAGTGATAATTGTGTTTTAATTATGTTTGATTTTTTGGTTGCATGTGACCTTTAAGTAATCTATCCACCAAACTCAAATTGTCTACTAAGTTTGAGTTTAATATTGTTTCAGTTTATTCCGGAAAATGCATTTCCTGCGTTTTCTCAAATTTGAGTCAAAACTCTGACTTAAGTCAAAACTCAGACTTAAGTTTGTTTCGAGAAATCGGGGGCCTGATCTGTCTCTTTCTGACACCAGAGGTCATGGCAACATGTGCTCCCAGCTCTGTCACAGAATAACACCATAACTGATGCTGCTGCCATGTTGGCATAATCTGTCTTCTTTGTATTTCTGGAGGTTGGTAGCCCAGTAGTTAAAGCGTTCACTCGTCACATCGAAGATCCGGGTTCCATTCCTTAACACTGTTTAATATGTGAAGCCAATTTCTGATTTCACCCGCTATGATATTGCTGGAACAATAAGGCTGTGTGAAACCACAATCAATGTATTTCACGGTGGCGTAACCTCGTGGTCAAAGCGTTCACACGTCATGCCGATGGCCGGGTTCGGTTCCCCACTTGGGTGCAATGTGTGAAGCCCATTTCTGGTGTCCCCCGCTGTGATATTGCTGTCATATTGCTAAAAGCAGCGTAAAACCAAACTCACTCACACACTCCTGTTCAGTACATCTCCAACAACCAAGGTTTGGCATCTAAAACCTATCATTTAGGTAACTGCAATTTTACTTAACATCCTGAACTGCAGCATAAGCCATATATCTATGACAGTTACTCAATGTATATCTGAGTGAATGATCTAATATTTCCCAAGGAACAGGTGTTCCATTAAGCCCAGTATGAACCCATGATACATCAGGCCCCACAAGACGTCTACCAGCTTGATGAATACATTAATCTATTGTTTATGTCCTGTACATTGTTGGCACCAGGCCTGCTCGTCTCCTGTTGTTGTGTTCACGGAGGTATATCTACAGATTAACAAGTGACCTACAGGGAGAAACAAGACCATAGATAACCCTTAACTTAAAGGTTGTACAGACTTTGCCAAATTTTGCGAAATCTGCAACTTTAGCTTCTTGTCCGAAGCAATGAACTTGTTATAATCTAGCATCATGATTTCATAACGTGGTGTGTGAAGCCCATTTCTGGTGTCCCCTGCCATGATATTGCTGGAATATTGCTAAAAGCAGCATAAACCATGCTCACTCACTCACTCAAACAATAAACTCACTCACTCACTCACTCACTCACTCACTCACTCACTCACTCACTCACTCACTCACTCACTCACTCACTCACTCACTCACTCACTCACTCACTCACTCACTCACTAAATCACTCACTCACTAAATCACTCACTCACTAAATCACTCACCTCTGTGGTGTAGTGGTTAGAGTGTCATCCCTCGGAGATCATCACGATAAATCGGTCGCCATACCAAGAGACATTAAAAATATGGTACTTGTTGGTCCCTGCCTGGCACTCGGCATTAATGGGTACAACAAGGACTGGTCGGCTCGGAGTCAGTATAATGTGTCTGAGTGGGGTATTCATGCTTCACTGCGGCATGCTATCTCAGTGAGCTAGCACTATAAAACCAGCTTAAGTCTGGGCTAGTACAAGCAACCCATTTTGACTGAAAAGATGAAAATCTTTGGGATAGCCCAAAAAAGGGTGGCCAGGAAAATATCTCTCCAGCATCAATATTTTGAAAAATATATCGTTTTTTTCGCTTTCAATTCAAATCTTTCTACATTAGGCCTAGGACTTATCAGTCACCCACTGTACTTTAATATGGTATGCAACATAGCATTTAAGTGTTCTTACAATGATATCTCTTAAATATTTGATGATGATCTTAAACTGTAAACTTTCAAATCTTGTTGTTGAAGTCTAACTTCGTAACTCTACCAGCTATGTACCATTCATGCATGTCGTTTGAGCATTATTCACACTTTAAATCAAACCCACGAGGAACAAACCGAAAATGACCTGAAAGATTCACATGAATCCGATAACAGAAACCAGCTGTTCAGGAGAGGAGCTTGCGATCACACCTTTAATTCAATCATAGTCACCCATCCTTTCCCCTCGTCTTGTGTTAAATTCAATAAGGAAGGCAAAACCTACTTTCCTCTGGCAAGCAACACTTATCTCAGTGATTCATACATTAGGGATAAACGGCTTCCATTGAATATGTTGGATGAGACGGACTCAGTCTGAGAATTCTGACATGTTGAGGTGAGGGAGGGGAACTTCTTTTTGTGACTGGATGCTTAAATAACCCCTTTACGTGTTTTAAACAGTTTATAGGATGGGATGTTGTGTGATAGTACTTTTGCTATTTCAGGTGAATAAATACATGGTAATATTAAGAGAAAAAGTTTCAACTAAAACTAATATAGAGGAACACATGTGCCTGCTTGGTTTACTGAGGGAAAACTGTGTGAAAATCATTCATCAAAATATTCAGGTGTTGTGCGTAGCTGAATAATTATTTGAAAGGGTTTATTTTTTACTTTCAAGGTGAGTAGTTTTAATGAGTGTCTTTTTTTCTGCTAAAGCTGTATCTGATTTGAGTTGAAAAGTATACCGTATAGGTAAATGTGATATCCCTGGAAGTATTTTCATACTTGAGGATTTTTTGTCGTAGACATCATTAGACTGAAATACTTTAATTAAACTGAATCGTGGGGCATGAGGTGGGTTTGACACTGCTTCCAACCTTCCAATTACAATGGGGGCAATGAATGCTCAGAATAAAACCTGAGTGATAGAACCAACGCTTAACCTTGAGGCTATCCTAAAAAGTGTTAAGAAATGGCTGAAAATTATTTCATTGAACCAGTTCATCAACCAAACACTAAAACACCCACCCACCCAGTCACACCCAGTCATACCCAGTCACATCCAGTCACGTCCAGTCACACCTAGTCACAACCAGTCACACCTAGTCAAATCCAGTCACACCTAGTCACATCCAGTCACAACCAGTCACATCCAGTCACACCCAGTCACATCCAGTCACCGCCTCCGTGGTGTAGTGGTTAGAGCGTCCGCCTGGAGAGTGGAAGGTCGCGGGTTCGATCCCCGATCGTGTCATACCAAAAACGTTAAAATATGGTACTTGTTGGTCCCTGCCTGGCACTCGGCATTAATGGGTACAACAAGGACTGGTCAGCTCGGAGTCAGTATAATGTGTCTGAGTGGGGTATTCATGCTTCACTGCGGCATGGTATCTCAGTGGGTAGCACTATAAAACCAGCTTAAGTCTGGCCTAGTACAAGCAGCCGCACATACACATACACACACATGCACATCGTCATATGAGCGAAATATTCTCAAGCACGACGTTAAACCCAATTTCACCTCACCTCACACCCAATAAACTCACTAACCTCAACCTTGACCTACTATCCAGAGCTGCACCTGTATGTGTGATGTATGTTTCAGATGTGTGAAGAAGACCAACATCATGACCGGCCAGACAGTGATGAAGTTCCAGTCCATCCATTCTCAGATTGTTTCCTTGGTGGTGAGTGTGTGTTCAATGGCAATTGTCAAGCTATACTAGCTGTGTTTAGTAGACGAGGTAAACTGGATGTCTTTAGTGTGAAACAGCTTGCTATACTAGATGCATTCAGCGTGAAATGTCAGGGTATTTTTAAATGTGTTTACTGACAAATGACAAGCTTTACCAGGTTTGTTTTGTGTGAAATCTCAAGCTCTTCCTGGTGTGTTTAGCATGAAATCTTAATCTTACTAGTTGCATTAATTGTCAAGTGTCAGATAATATTCAGTGAGAAGTGGCTCCACTATTAAAATATTTGCCTATCACACCAAAAGTCCTTGGTTTGATTCTTCACAAAGATTGGTTCTCTATAAGAGGATGTGTTAATCCTCTAGCTTGGGTTTCACAGAGTGATAGTTCGTGGGCATTATCAGCCATTATAGCTAAAATACATGGAATTATCATGAAACTGCCCTCCCATTATCAGAAATTTGCGGGCCTCTGCAAATGATATTGGACCGCTCAACCTTAACGACGGGCCACTATCAGTTCTGTTGTCAAGTGACATCATAGTGGGTGCGTGGGCTTACGGTTCATTTCGACATTAATTGGCTTTCGACTGGCAGATATTCTGGGTCAAACAAGTCAAAACAACCCGAATTCCCGCTTTAAATAGCGGTAATATTGGCTTTCTTGTTCGTCCTACCTTAACAATTGCACTATTAGGGCTGTTGATGGACCAAAACCGAACACTGACAGAGTTTGACATGTTGCAGGCTATGGTCTTGTCAAAGGCCAAGGTCGAATATCGTCACTTTCTGTTGTGACGTCACTTGAATTGTTCGATGACGTAATTGCATTCGGGCAGTCAACCCCATCAGAAGTTGATTTGGGTAAACTTACAGTCAAATTCCTTCATTGTTTCCTTTTTCTTTTCAACACAAATTCCATGTATTTTAGCAATAATAACGGTAATGCTATTTTTGAGGGCATTATCATTTGCAGAAGCCTTATACAAATAGCAGTGCAGCATGGCACACCATCACCATCTTTAGACTTCCTATCATGGGTTTGAGTCCCAGATTTCCCATATTAACTTCCTCACTCTGTCAGCACCAGAAGTTGCACCAAGTGAGTGATCTGCATCACTGAAATGGGCATAATACAGGCATTGTTCTTTCAGTTATTTTTGTCCTTTATTGCAACCCTCAGCAATTTTCAAGCTAGTGGTCCGTAAATAAAGTCTGGACCAGAAAATCCACTGATTGACATTATGTTCATCAATCTACGCAATTGGGATACGATGACATGTGTCAACCAAGTCAGAGGGCCAGATTCCGTTATTCGCCTCTTACGACAAGCATGGGTTGCTGAAGACCAATTCTAACCTGAATCTTCATGGGTTGCATTTTATGAAAAAATGTAATGATACATGTGATGTTTCCTTGTGGAAGTTACATAGGCATATACCAGTGGTGTATCGTTTGGGTCCCATGAATGGATGGAACATAAAGCTAAATGTATTTTACCTGAAACCAATAATGTATCCTTTGTTAGCGTTCTTTAAATATTAGTTTGGCAGTGTAAATTTCTTCAGTGTTTGGAGGGCAGAGATGGTCTAAAATGCTGCAATTTGCTTTGCAGAGTTATATCCCTTAGGCAGCCGGAAACCAACGATTGTATGTTCAAATAGCAGATTTGCCATGATTAATTATTTACGACTGTCAGCACCATGCCCACGCTCATGGGTTTCTCGGAAATGGTAAACATCTAAGAACCGGCATCGTTTGGAGTTTTCAGTACCAGATTTGTAATGATTAATGTTTTAGGTGTGTCATCACCCTGCCCATGCTCATAGTCGGCACTGAAGTCGTAAACATCTGAGACTTGCATCGTTTTGGGCTTCCCCCAACATCAGAGCTGACATCCATTAATATTAATAATAATAATAATAATTCATTTATATAGCGCCGAGTATCCATCTGTCTAGTTGCTCACTGGATGCTGAATCACATTATTACCCTGGGTAACCTAGGCTGTATGTGAGGTGCTAGAAGGTTAATAGTCACATGACTTATCCCACCGGGTACCCATTTTTTACTGGGTGAACAGAGACAATTTTGAATAAACTCGCTTGCCTAAGGTGAGACCACATGTGTCACATATGCTTCTTTGTGGGGCAGGACTGAATTTCTAGAAACTCTCAGGCTGCCAATCATGGTCACCCATCCAAGGACTCTCTGTGCTCAATGCTGCTTAACTTCAACTGATTTGTGACCTGAGGTCTATGCACAGGACCATACACCATCACAAAAAGTTAATATTACTTGCATACCATAGAAAGTGGTGTTTGACCAAGTATCTTGACAAAGGGAATTCTTGTGGCTCACTTCTTGTGTCTATTACATGCCAACATAAATGGTTTCATTTTGGAAATGAAGTATGTTTGATTAATACTTGTTTTATGCGGTTATACAGTTTTTACAGTTGGCAAAACAAGCAAATGGATGTAATGGTTTTCACAGAACCCTGATGGGTTATCAAAGGGGGCATCATATGTACAGGTGGAATCTGGAGCAAAATACAGGTGTTATTTATCTCTGTAAAGGAAAATAGTTTGGTTAGCATATCCAGCTTGATAATTTTTCCTTTCAAATTGTTTTGTGAGAGTGATATCATACTTTAACTATGACATCATCTTTTGCGCAGCTTGTTAGATAATTGAAATGAACTGCAGTAAACCAACATGCTTGACCAAAACTGATGGTTTTTGATCAGTGTTCCCCCAAGTGTTAACTGTTTACACTATTTAATCTACACCATGTAATTCATGTCAAAACTCACTTGAACTAGGCTTGGCATTTGTATGTTTGCCAATAAATGATAACCTGTAGGCTGTCAGTAAAATTCATGTTTCATATCTGTATATTTACTTGCATGATAAATCATTTACTTCTTACTGGCATGGCTAGCGTCATGTTGAGTCTGTGGGCTCACTGGGGCATCATTCAGACGGATGTTTACCTGGCAATTGGCAAAACCAAGGGGCATAGATAATGAGATAATACCTAGGAAGCACTTTCCCAGGAGGGGGTAGAGCTGGGGCTGATGGGAAGATTCTGGATAATGTGATGTGACAATGGGCGCACCTTCTTAGGTGTAGGTATGGACAGATGTAGGGCAGGGAAGGGTGTGAATGAGATGTGACAATGGGTGCACCTTCTTAGGTGTGGGTATGGACAGATGTAGGGCTGGGAAGGGTGTGAATGAGATGTGACAATGGGTGAGGTATGGACAGATGTAGGGCTGGGAAGGATGTGAATGAGATGTGACAATGGGTGCACCTTCTTAGGTGTGGGTATGGACAGATGTAGGGCTGCAGGAAAGGGTGTGAATGAGATGTGACAATGGGTGCACCTTCCTGGGTGTGGGTATGGACAGATGTAGGGCTGGGAAGGGTGTGAATGAGATGTGACAATGGGTGCACCTTCCTGGGTGTGGGTATGGACAGATGTAGGGCTGGGAAGGGTGTGAATGAGATGTGACAATGGGTGCACCTTCCTGGGTGTGGGTATGGACAGATGTAGGGCTGGGAAGGGTGTGAATGAGATGTGACAATGGGTGCACCTTCCTGGGTGTGGGTATGGACAGATGTAGGGCAGGGAAGGGTGTGAATGAGATGTGACAATGGGTGCACCTTCCTGGGTGTGGGTATAGACAGATGTAGGGCAGGGAAGGGGGTGTGAATGAGATGTGACAATGGGTGCACCTTCCTGGGTGTGGGTATAGACAGATGTAGGGCAGGGAAGGGTGTGAATGAGATGTGACAATGGGTGCACCTTCCTGGGTGTGGGTATGGACAGATGTAGGGCTGGGAAGGGTGTGAATGAGATGTGACAATGGGTGCACCTTCCTGGGTGTGGGTACGGACAGATATGGACAGATGTAGGGCTGGGAAGGCTGGGAAGGGTGTGAATGAGATGTGACAATGGGTGCACCTTCCTGGGGTGTGGGTATGGACAGATGTAGGGCTGGGAAGGGGTGTGAATGAGATATGACAATGGGTGCACCTTCCTGGGTGTGGGTATAGACAGATGTAGGGCTGGGAATGGGGCACCTTCCTGGGGTGTGGTACAGGACAGATGTAGGGCTGGGTAAGGGCTGTGGTGGGGAATGTAATTATTGTGAAATTGTCAATTTGGTTACTCAAAGTAACCCCCTGTGGCAATAACCTTATAAAAATATTCACTTGATCAGCTTTTCAGATCAGTTTTGATGCTATTTCTGACTAATTTGTTCAAAATCAAGTTTTACATTATTTAATAAAATCCAATGCAAAATTCAATGTAAGAGCCAAAGTAATAATGCTTTTCTTTCTCCATCCTATCTGTCATGGGCACCTTGTTGAGAAGCCCATTACCTGGTTGTGATGTCCGTGAAATGCCATGAGCTTGGCATTGTATTGGATTGAGTGTCAAGTAAAAACATGACTAAGGTTAGTTATAAATTCACTTAGGGTTTTATTTCATGAGAAAAGGATGTGGCAATCCGCTATCTACTTTCAACAATGGATGTCGCACCTGGTTGGATAATGCCATGTGTCTCTGTCAGTGTACTACCGGCATGTTTAATGTGTGCTGGTTGTTGGTCTGTAGTACCAGTGGGAATGTCCACACATTGTTCAGGTGAAAGTTGGATAGATTTTTTATTCAGTTGGATCTGCTGTCCGCAGAGTAGCAGAAGTTTGTCTTACGAAGTTGTTTAGTTTGCCATGCTGAAAAATAATTGTTCCACTTGGACTTTTGGAGAATAAAGCACTAACCTACAAAATGTCCTGTTTAAGAAATAAAACCACATCCCCTCTCACCCAATATTAAATCTTAGGAGTTTGTGCCTTATGAATGTGCCAGTGCAGAATCTCTTTCTGGAACAGTCTGTGTAGAATAAATTAAGAAATAGACTCAAATCAAGACTTCAATCCATGAAGGATTCTCAAGTCTAGATTAACGTAGCTCTGAAATTAA